TTCTTTAGAGTAATTTATAGATTTTTTTTCCTATCATGGCCTTTCAATAGTCAAGTCTGTAAAATCTAACATAGCCATATACTTGAATTGTCTCAATATTAAGGCAGAGAGCTGAGATTTTTATTGGTTAGATTATTGAACAATAAAAAATATATACAAAAATATTTATACTTAAAAATAATAATAACAGTCAGGACGGACCTGAAGGGCCTTTTAATTCTCAGTGCATTAAGTCGCAAAGCTCGTCCTTAGCTTATAAAGGGATTGGGTAATATGGAATATGTGAGGGCACAGTGTAAGAAAATTTACAGGAGTTGAGACAACTGTCATGCTTCGGCCAGTCGTCTATTCACGGTTCGAAAACCCTGGCTTCAGCGGACAATGGGTTAACCAAGTCGAGGCAAGAGAAGTCTCGAGAGTATCATCGAATAATGCCTATACTAAAGTAAACTGTGCTGTATGAAAGCGAACCTGGTCCTAGTTCAAACCGTAAGACGTTCGAGGCAGAAAATAGACCAGAGACAATAGACTCACTGAATAGCCTAAGCGAAATCCTACGAGGATCCCAGCGTAGTATATCCCATGAACTGCCTAGCAGAGTCTGGAAACTGTTTCCATGCTGGGCTAGGGACAGAGTACCTGACGATCCTGGACCGCCTAGTTGAATTCTCAATCTATATTATTTATCTGACGGAAGACGTGACACACACCTGGGTTCATAAACCCTTGGCTGACTTGTCCGGATCACGCTCAAGGGAATAAGCCCTTTTCGACGGTCCCCCCAGTCCAAAGGGACTCTGAAGATGATTAGTGTCGTTACAAAGACCTCTATTTGGACTTACTGTATCGTGCATTCAAAAGGGCTAGGTGCTTCTTCACACGCAGTCCATGTGACCCGATCTGCCGAAGATACGCTCCAGGCTTGAGCGAGACAGGAAGTTACCGCGACGAGAATCCAAGAAACGGTTGTTCTAAACATAGTTCGAATCCAACCCTTTGGTTTCCTGTCTGCTTGTTTGGTGTCCTTTTATAGATCGAAGCACCTCCCTTTATCTCCCTCCAATTTCGGAGATGTCATCTGCACGGTGGTAGTGGTGATGCAATGTCGTAAACCCGGAGTTTAGTTTCACTAGTACGCCGCTGGCAAACATAAAGGCATAGTCAAATTTCGTGGTGGAGAGAGTCCCGCTCATAGACGAAAGCCCGAAGTTACGGCAATGTAATTTTCAAGGTCTCTGAAATCTATTTCACATGCGCGTAGAATGGTGGATCGAGGTTGCCTCCCCACTAGTAGTGGTCCACTTGGCATGGCGGTGGTTGAGTGCTTTAGTCCGCGTGGCGATATATATGAGCAAAGTTGATCCCGCCTAGATTGATGCCATCTCTTAAATACGTGTGGCCAAGGAAAGTACCCTAGTAACAGTTTGAGATGGAACGAGAAGAGGTCAGAGTGACAGGTCAACATGCCGCCGACATGGGGTTGCTGAGAAGCATCTTTACTACCTCCTAATTAAGACACCTATCTCTGTAATGCACCATCAAAATTCTCTGGAGACTTATGATGTTATCCAGCAAGTGGCATCCTTCGGTGAGGATTTAGGACTGGATCATTAAATAATGGGGTGAATGTCTCAAATAATAGCAGATACATAGACAAACAACAATGGACATCGATGATGGACCACAGAGAGTGCTAAATCAGTTTAGGATAAAGAGATGTCGAAAGGTATACTCTCCGGCCGACATTCGACATCTGCCTCATCGTGTCCAGCATCGCGCGGAGGGGTCCCATTGAGATACTTCCTTATAGCATCGTCCATACAAGCCGAAACTACAAAACATTAGTTGATATTACGAGGAAATGTAGGATTCTTCTTACCAACCGCACCTGAACCGAATATAGTTAGCGATAAATTCAGATACACAATGATGACTTACCGCTACCGTGTCCAAGGGTATGATATTTTACGAGCCTTGCCTTGTTTCCGAGATGCTTCGAAGAGGCAAGCGTTCTCGCACTACTATAAGGCGTGATCGGATCCTCAGTATTCCCAATGACGAGAACCACATTCTTTGGTTTGATATTCATCTTCTTTGGTAACCTTTCGACCGTCCCTCGACGTCCATTTATGACACATTGTGCGAGGACTATTCTCGACGGAAATGGGTGTAAACGTGCGAGACACGGTTTGAGAAGCCTTGACAATTTTTTGGAATACCTCCTTTGTCGTCCTTCCATGATGATCAATCGAATCTCCGCAGAAAATGGCGAATATGACCATGTTCCGTACATAATCGGGGTAAATGTTTGCAAAAGGGGAAAGAGGGGAATAGGGGAGCATTCTACTGGGAGGAGCTATGGACTGGGTACCGCGTTTGAGCGAGGGAGCGGTAGTACTGTTGATGTTTGATTGCTCGTTGATGATCCCTTCGATAGCCGCGCTGATTTGACTACCAAACATTGGCTCGTATAAACCGCTATAGAGCTGGGAAGCGATAGTGTTAAATGTCCATCTCCTTGGGTTCGAGCTGATCGTTGTGTCGCTAAAATCCAGTACAGGGTTCCACTTTGTACCATCATAGTTTCGATACGCCACATCTAAGGCATTTTCTACTACCTTGTGAACTCCCTCTGCCGTGTTGTTTCCCCTGGCCGCGAGAGGACACTTGTCAGGATTAGCAGCGCAGACCTCTGTCCATTTGATGAATGCTCGCTCCGAAGACTCTTTATCCGTTTCCAGCCCATCTATGGGAACCTTATTGGAATACAAATATGGTTCCACCACAGCTGTCAGCAATATCAATTATATGAGCATATAAGTAGTGCCAAATGAGATTTTACCATCAATTATCACTTTCCCAACCCGGTTGGGAAACATTTGTGTTAGGTATGTAGCAATGACCGTCCTATAAAAGGTTTAAGTAAGTGAAACACAGGATCTGGTCACATACCCGTAGCTAACTCCCCAAAAGTTCACATCCGCTCCAGTCCCATAGATTGCATCTACGAGAGCGACAAGATCTCTTGTGACTGCACAAGTACCTACACTGAATAAATGTTAGAAAGGAGCGGAAATTGTAACGATACACCGTACTATTTGAGGTTATCGCCATTCTTTTGGACCATCATTGTGTCGAGTGATTGAGCCAATGTATCGAACCAAGACACTCGTGACATACTACGTATATTATCATGAATAGACTTGTCTTCTCGACAATATGGTACCTACAAGAAAGCTACATCCGATGGAGTTGTAAGGTTGCCAGATGCTTCGAGTTGATTTGGTCCTTGGAATTGCTCCCAAAAATCAGCGTACTCGCGATCAGTAGAGAACAAGGTAACATTTGGCCCTGATTTGAGTACTCCTCCTGGAACGAAATGAGAGGCGACATAGATACACAAAGAATCCAAACATACGAGGATCCCAGCTAATCAAATTCCATGAAGGCCCCAATTGGTTGAGCATGGCGTGAATGTTGAACTCCTGTGCCAGAGCTTGCGTCCCTGAGCCTCCTGGTCCACCTATGTGGAAGATCCTTATAATCTGGTATATTGGATTGAGGTCCATTACCCACCTGGATTGTAGAACATGTAACCTTGCCTCGGTTGTTTAGTAGCTGGACGTCGAATCACGCTCAAAGGAATAAGTCCTTTTCGACGGTCCGGCGGTCCGCCCAGTCCAAAGGGACTCTGAAGACGATTATTATCATCACAAGAGGCCATATTCTTCACTTACTGTATTGTCGTGCATTCCAAAGGACTGGGTGCTTCCTCACACGCTGTCCATATGACCCTATCTGCCGAGGATACGCTCCAGGCTTGAGTGATGCAAAAAATTGCCGCGACGAGGGTCCAAGAAACAGTTGACTTAAACATGGTTCGAATACAACCCTTGGTCTCCTATGTTCTTATTCGGAGTGCTTTTATAAACCGAAGCGCCTCCCTTTATCTCCGTTCAATTTCGCCGATGTCATCTGCGCGGTGGTAGTGGAGATGAGTTATTGTGAAACCGGGTTTAGAATCGCTAATACGCCGTTGGAAAACTAAGGGGGATAACCAATTTTTCGTAAAGAAAAGAGTTCCGCCAATAGACGAAGACCCCGAAGTTACGGTAATGCAATTTACAGGGTCCTTTGAATTACATTTCACATGCGAGTAGAGTAGTGGCTCGAAGCTACCCTCCACGAGTAGTGATCGGGTTGTTGTGACGGGTGGTTGAGTGCTTTAGTCCGCGGGGCGATATATACGAGCAAGGGCCATCTCATCGAAATTGATGGCATCTCTTTAGTACGTGTAGCCAAGAAAAATACCCTAGTAACACTTTGAGACAGAATGAGAAGAGGTCGAAGGGACCGGTCAACATGCCGCCTCCAGGGAGAACCTCTATGACTACATAATAACAAGAAATATCTCCTTAAAGGACCATTAAAGTGCTCTAAAAGGTTATCTAGCGGGAAGAAGACACTGGCGTTCTTAGTTGGGGATTTATAACTGAATCATAAACAGCAAATGCGTCAAAACCCAAATACATAGACAAAGGGCAATTAATATCAATGATAGACTCATAGGGTCCTACATCCATCTAGGATGGGAGAGGAAAGTCAAAAGGTATACTATCCGGCCGGCATTCGATGTCCGCCTCATCGTTCCCAGCATCTTGCGGGGGAGTCCCATTGATATATTTCCTTATGATATCGTCCATACAAGTCGAAGCTACAAAATATTAGCTGATATTACGAGGAAAAGGGATCTTCTTACCAACCGCACCTGAACCAAATATCGTTAGCGATCAAATTAGATGCACGATGGTCACTTACTACTGGTGTGCCCAAGAGTATGATATTTTACGAGCCTCGCCTTGTTTCCGAGATGCTTCGAAGAGGCAAGTGTTCTAGCACTGCTATACGGCGTAGTTGGATCCTCGGTGTTCCCAATAATGAGGACGACATTCTTTGGTTTGATATTCATCTTCTTTGGTAACCTTTCGACCG